AAAAAAAAATCACGATTAATATAGTATTCCATTTTCAGATCCATATGCAGCTCTTTTTAGGTATATGATTATACCTCCCCCACAGTATGTCGTGATGGCATCAACCTTTTGTGTCATTCATCAGTGTACTGTGAAGGCCTTAACGTTTACTGTCATTAATCACAGAGTATAACGATGACGTCACTCTTTATGTGTCAGTTGACCATGATTACGTCAGGCTACTAGTATACAGTCGATTAGCACAGCTTATAACGATGTCGTCGGTCTTTACTATCATTAATCACAGCGTAAAGCGATGACGTCAGCCTTTACTCTATTTTATAACAGTATAACATGATGATGTCAAACTTTGATGTCAACAATTACAGTGTATAACGATGCCGACATTTATGGTCCTTTATCAAAGTGTACTACTAGGATGCCGACATTTATGGTCCTTTATCAAAGTGTACTACCAGGATGCCGACATTAACGGTCCTTTATAACAGTGTACTACTAGGATACCGACATTAACGGTCCTTTATAACAATGTACTACTAGGATACCGACATTTACGGTCCTTTATAACAGTGTCCTACTAGGATGCCGACATTAACGGTCCTTCATCACTATGTACTACTAGGATGCCGACATTTACGGTCCTGTATAACAGTGTACTACTAGGATGCCGACATTTACGGTCCTGTATAACAGTGTACTACTAGGATGCCGACATTAACGGTGCTTTATAACAGTGTACTACTAGGATACCGACATTAACGGTCCTTTATAACAATGTACTACTAGGATGCCGACATTTACGGTCCTTCATCATTATGTACTACTAGGATGCCGACATTTACAGTCCTTTATCACTATGTACTACTAGGATGCCAACATTAACGGTCCTTTATAACAGTGTACTACTAGGATACCGACATTAACGGTCCTTTATAACAATGTACTACTAGGATACCGACATTTACGGTCCTTTATCACTATGTACTACTAGGCTACCGACATTAACGGTCCTTTATAACAATGTACTACTAGGATACCGACATTTACGGTCCTTTATCAAAGTGTACTACTAGGATGCCGACATTTACGGCCCTTTATAACAGTGTACTACTAGGATGCCGACATTAACGGTGCTTTATAACAGTGTACTACTAGGATACCGACATTACCGGTCCTTTATAGCAATGTACTACTAGGATGCCGACATTAACGGTGCTTTATAACAGTGTACTACTAGGATACCGACATTAACGGTCCTTTATAACAATGTACTACTAGGATACCGACATTTACGGTCCTTTATAACAGTGTACTACTAGGATACCGACATTAACGGTCCTTTATAACAATGTACTACTAGGATGCCGACATTTACGGTCCTTTATCACTATGCACTACTAGGATACCGACATTTACGGTCCTTTATAACAGTGTACTACTAGGATACCGACATTACCGGTCCTTTATAGCAATGTACTACTAGGATGCCGACATTAACGGTCCTTCATCACTATGTACTACTAGGATACCGACATTTACGGTCCTTTATAACAGTGTATTACTAGGATGCCGACATTTACGGTCCTTTATCATTATGTACTACTAGGATGCCGACATTTACAGTCCTTTATCACTATGTACTACTAGGATGCCAACATTAACGGTCCTTTATAACAGTGTACTACTAGGATACCGACATTACCGGTCCTTTATAGCAATGTACTACTAGGATGCCGACATTAACGGTGCTTTATAACAGTGTACTACTAGGATACCGACATTACCGGTCCTTTATAGCAATGTACTACTAGGATGCCGACATTAACGGTGCTTTATAACAGTGTACTACTAGGATACCGACATTAACGGTCCTTTATAACAATGTACTACTAGGATGCCGACATTTACGGTCCTTCATCATTATGTACTACTAGGATGCCGACATTTACAGTCCTTTATCACTATGTACTACTAGGATGCCGACATTAACGGTCCTTCATCACTATGTACTACTAGGATACCGACATTAACGGTCCTTTATAACAATGTACTACTAGGATACCGACATTTACGGTCCTTTATAACAGTGTACTACTAGGATGCCGCCATTTACGGTCCTTTATAACAGTGTACTACTAGGATACCGACATTACCGGTCCTTTATAGCAATGTACTACTAGGATGCCGACATTAACGGTCCTTTATCACAGTGTACTACTAGGCTGCCGACATTAACGGTCCTTTATAACAGTATACTACTAGGATGCCGACATTTACGGTCCTGTATAACAGTGTACTACTAGGATGCCGACATTAACGGTCCTTTATCACAGTGTACTACTAGGATACCGACATTTACGGTCCTTTATAACAATGTACTACTAGGATGCCGACATTTACGGTCCTTTATCACTATGTACTACTAGGATACCGACATTTACGGTCCTTTATCACTATGTACTACTAGGATACCGACATTAACGGTCCTTTATAACAATGTACTACTAGGATACCGACATTTACGGTCCTTTATCAAAGTGTACTACTAGGATACCGACATTAACGGTCCTTTATAACAGTGTACTACTAGGATGCCGACATTTACGGTCCTTTATCATTATGTACTACTAGGATGCCGACATTTACAGTCCTTTATCACTATGTACTACTAGGATGCCGACATTTACGGTCCTTTATCACAGTGTACTACCCGAAGGATGATCAGCCCGTGGTACTGCTGCAACATGGTCTCTTGTCCTGCTCGGCATGCTGGCTGGAGAACCTCGTCAACGAGAGTCTGGGCTACTTGATGGCAGATAATGGACTGGATGTTTGGTTGGGAAACAGTCGAGGTAACACATACTCCCGGAAACACAAAACACTAAGCCCTAGCGACCCAGAATTCTGGGAATGGAGGTTCGTACACCATTCACTACATTTTGGTGGCTTTTTTTTTTGAGAAGACGCAAACCCCAGTATTCAAAGTATTTACCTATAAAAATATTCTATAAGCAAAGTTCGTTTCGTCAAAATTGGTAGGACGTCGACTATCCATTGGCATTTTACCCAATAAAATTGAAATTAGCGTCTTGCCAACCCCACCTTATAATACAGCCTCGTCTAAAAGAACTCAGTATGCTAGAAGGTCATTATGGATCTTCTCATCTCTACTGTGATACGAGTTTAGTATTTATAACGCGTTTCCTTTCCTACTTCGGGTTATTGGTTTTCATTTGGTTTGTAAATAGTTGGTGAATACCAAGTCTATATTGTACTTATCGTGTCTGTAGTTGGGACGAGATGGCAATGTACGATCTACCGGCCATGGTAGACTATATATTGAACGTGACAAACCGGAAGCAATTGTACTATTTAGGATACTCCCAGGGAACACAGATCGCATTCTCCGGCCTCGGCCTACCCTGGAATACGGACAAAGTGAAGATGTTCTTTGCGTTTGCACCTGTCACTACACTCGGCGACATCATCAGTCCTATCCGACTCCTTGCACCATTTGTCAAACCAATACAGGTGTGTTTGACCTTAAATGTTTATAAATTAATGGACTTAAATACTTCTAAAATGTTCTTATAAGACGCAATTACGCAATGCATATTTATCGATTAATGATTAGTTTCAAGACACTTCCATATTTTTCAGACACTGTATGAAATATTCGGGAAGTCTGAGTTTCTCCCCAGCACTGACATTGTAAAGTGGCTCGGACGGGCGGCATGTAGCAAACCTGGCCTCGACTTCATCTGTGAAAACGTCCTCTTTGTCCTCGGTGGCTACGACTTCAAGCAGATGAACGAAGTACGTAAGGGTCAGCTATATTTCATCTACTTCCATCATATTTATGTCCCCGGGGGTGCCAAAATAAATCTAGTCTTTTTCAATAACTGTACTTGATTATATTCCGAGGGACAAGTAATTCAATTTCAATATCGTCTTTCTCGTTGATGATTGATCTCCAAAATGTGCCCTCGTTGTTCGATGGTAAAAGGATCCCCGACTGTCCTCCGCCTTGTTGATTATTATTGGTATTTTATGTTTCAGTCACGAATCCCGGTTTATGTAGCCAACCATCCCGCCGGCACCTCTGTCCAGAACATTGTCCACTATGCTCAGGTTTGTTAACACGAGGAACACGAGGGAAGTAAAGCCTTGTATCACTGCAATAGTTCTACGTGGCGACAGAACATGTAGTGATTATTTTCCACATCGACAGCTTACGTTTGCCGTGACACAGTACTGTAACAACACATTGATACAAAAGTGATGTATTTGGTTGATGATACTCACAATCCAAATGGTACTTTTCAATTTGCGTTGTATGAGCGACTTTTGCAATGTTGTTTTATGTCATTTAATAAGGCAAGAAACTCGTTTGGATCCCTTGTTGCAAACGCTCCTGATAAGTTACCACAAAATATCTTTTCAATAATCGGAACTCACAAAATAAAAATTGGAATGGAGTTCATTTGAATAAATCCATGAAAATGCCACTAAAGGTGATTTTTGCATATAATTATTTATTGCGATTATGTTTTGAATAATCATTTCATGTTTGAATTGGATAGACTGTTAACGATAGATAAGATCTCTTTTACGTACCTTGCCTGAATCCATTGGACTAATATTATTTTGCATACATGTCTTGTTTTAATGTGACAAACCAATACTCGCCCTTAACGACATAAAGAAATAAGTGAGAAACATATGTATTCAGTCTATTCCACTCCATACTTCAGTCTGTCCTTCACAAGAACTTCTTGATGTATGACTTTGGGTCGGAGGCTACCAACTTAGCCCGCTACAATCAGGTAAGACTTGTCGGTGATAGCACACTACAATCAGGTAAGACTTGTCGGTGATACTTAAGCCCGATACAATCAGGTAAGACTTGTCGGTGATACTTAAGCCCGCTACAATCAGGTAAGACTTGACGATGATACTTAGCCCGCTACACTCAGGTAAGACTTGACGACGATACTTAGCCCGCTACAATCAGGTAAGACTTGACGATGATAATTAGCCCGCTACAATCAGGTAAGACTTGTCGGTGAAACTTAAGCCCGCTACAATCAGGTAAGACTTGACGATGATACTTAGCCCGCTACACTCAGGTAAGATTTGACGATGATACTTAGCCCGCTACAATCAGGAAAGACTTGTCGATGATACTTAAGCCCGCTCCAATCAGGTAAGACTTGTCGGTGATACTTAAGCCCGCTACAATCAGGTAAGACTTGTCCGTGATACTTAAGCCCGCTACAATCAGGTAAGACTTGACGATGATAATTAGCCCGCTACAATCAGGTAAGACTTGTCGATGATCCTTAAGCCCGCTACAATCAGGTAAGACTTGACGATGATACTTAGCCCGCTACAATCAGGTAAGACTTGTCGATGATACTTAAGCCCGCTACAATCAGGTAAGACTTGTCGGTGATACTTAAGCCCGCTACAATCAGGTAAGACTTGACGATGATACTTAGCCCGCTACAATCATGTAAAGACTTGTCGGTGATACTTAACCCGCTACAATCAGGTAAGACTTGCCGATGATACTTTGCCCACTGCAATCAGGTTAGATTTGGCGATGATACTAATTAAGCCTCTTTCAATCAGGTAAGATCTTTCGATGGTACGCCACTTCGGGTAGGAAGTTGCCAACTTTGCCCGCTAAAATCGTTTGCTCTTTACAATTAGGTGAGACTTACGGATTAAACTTTACCGGCTACAACCAGGCAAGACTGCGGATAAGTATGACTTTGGGTAAGAGATTACTAACATTTCCAAGTTGGTAAAATATATCAAGCGGAAAAATATGATTGAGAGGTTTTCAACCTTGCACGCTGCTTGTCTACGATCCGTAGGGTTTCTTTTGCGCTCCAGACAGGTAATACTTCTTGATGATGTACGAGGTTGTAAGCCTTGTCAGCATTTCAACAAAGATCAGGTTTGTTCAAGATTGTGTATACTGTATTACAAGAAATATTCGCTATTTATAAACATTCATAGTCTTCGCGATTGCTGTAAACCAACGAAATAAATGCTAACTTTAGATGGTTGTTTATATGCGGTATTTTATGTACCACTAAATCGCGCAAACCACGAAAGAAAACACCCGCAAACATTTCCTGTTATACAGTAACAGTGGGAAGGCTTCTAGACTCCCCTCCCCATACACTACTATATCAATCACCTCAGTTATTTTTGACTTACGTTAACCATGCAACCTTTACCCTGATATATTCCCGGGGGAGCAGACGACTCCGCCAGCCTGGAACGCGTCTCTGGTGAAGACCCCGACAGTTGTGTACTCCGGCTCAAAGGACTGGTTGGCCGATCCCACTGATGTCAACGCCCTTCTGCCCGAGATAACAAACCTAGTGGCTACCAAAACCATGGATGAATGGGAACACCTGGACTTCATATGGGCCATGGACGCGCCACAGCAGGCGTACAACGACGTCATCAGACGCATCCACGAGCAGGAGGCAGTCGAACGCAACTCGACGTAGACTTTTACTGTCAATATACAATAAACTGTATACGACATTTTAGTTCGTATGATGTTATTTAGTTGGGATTCGATAAGACTTGAAAAAGTACGTTGCACAAAGGAAATGAAAATAAATGATATCACCCTAGGATGCTTATATCCACGTCCTTGCAGTTCATTGTCAAGGTCTCCTGTGATGTATATCTGAGATGTTGATGCTGTTTGTGTTTAAACGTTTACGTTATCATAGAAAAATATGGCAATGGTGGCGGACTAACAGCGATGATTTGAAACAGCTACACATTCAAGTTCTGACGAAGGCTTTCCGAATGTTTGGTACGATATCTTCTACCACAATCCGCTGTGATATTCCACTCTCAGATCATTGTTTATACACCACACGTGGTATATGACCTTCCAGAGTTTTGATTTTTTGGCCGAGAAGATGAACTTCGACCGGGACGACTTTTTCCACACGCTTTTTGCCACTGCTGTTTAGTTCACGTCGTCTGCTGTCAAAATCCGGCAAATATTGGTGACTTTGTGAGGTTATGCGATGGGTAAAATGGGGTAATTAAAACAATATTAAAAAAAGATGATACTTAAAGATTTGATCGCTAGTTTCAGGCAAAATTGTTACAGACGCTCGATATCGTTTCGACGTCACACCGTCGCGTGTCCACTGAGGTCGTGAAACCAAAACATGATCTGTCACAATGTCGGAAAATATTTCGTTCCCCCAACGTCCCGTTATCGCTATTTGGAGGGTCTGACTATGGCTGAACCTTCACTATAAACGTCAACCATAGAACCGTGCCGAAGAAACGTCCCAGGCTATGGTTTTGGACATTGACAGCGATTAGTTCTTCATCACTTGGCGGGATGCAGACTTCGTACGATATGCATACGCGCATGTAGTCTGCGGTTAATTTATATGAATTGATGCAATACTGCATACTCTCAATACTTAAAGACGTTCATCTACTAGATTTTTTTTCACGAAGTTGCTGTCAAAACATTTATTTTGACAAATATTAAATTTGTAAAAAAAAAAAGCTAAAAAGTTATGAATATTAATGAGTGACATTTTACATATGGGTAATATCACTACGCCAGCCTTGTCAACAAACACATGTGTGTATGTTATTAAAATCAGGTCACACTTCAGATGTTTCTGACTGAGATTGTGGTAGAAACAGATCGCACGACTCGTAGTTGTTGAGTATAGTATTTATTTCACTTTCGTTAGTTAATTTTCAAAAGTTACAGAAAGACACTCGCTAAAGCTCGTGTCTTCTGTGACTTTTAAAAATTAACTAGCTCGAGTGAAATAAATACCATATTCAAACTGGAATAATGAATATGTTATTTGGTTATGGCCAAATCTCTTAAAACGCTACTATGCGTACAACTGAAAGGAATTAGTCTAGTTAAAACATATTTTATTTAAAAAAAAAAAGGGATTAATAAAAGGACTTGGCGGAAGTCTCTTTTAAAACAGAAGTGCCATGTTTGGCCATTTTACAGATCCTTCACCCATAAAGTATTTATTGCTGCATGAAGATGCCTATATTTGAATAAAATCCGTTTGACACCTTGCAAAATGTCATAGGTTGGCTGTAAAGTGACATACCTTTCATTTATCTGTTCAAATAATTAAAAAGCAACCCAAAACATATTACTTTAGCAAAATGATATATTATATTTAAATATGTTATCACATTGTTACATCAATGAAATACAATCCAAACAGGGAAAAGTTCATTTTAATTCGCTTTAAAGAGTACGCTCATTTTCACCATCAAACAACTTTGCTTAATTGTCTATTAAAAAATCATAAATGCGCCTCGTGCTATCCCTGTTAACACCCAGAAGGGGATATCTTTACATACTATGTTATAGTGTTCCTTTGCTCTAAAAGAAGGGTATGAGGGTGCAGTTTTGGCATTTTTCGTTTGAGCGTCACAGAGAAAAAAGAGCAAACAGATGTCGAACAAATTAATTCACCGAGTGAATAATACAATCAAATCAGAGGATTGGTCACAGTCTTACCGGCTGTATCTTCCTCGGGAAGAATGCATTGTAAATAAAAAGAATAATAACAAAACAAAATGAAAAACTCATAATATATATATATATATCACCAAAAGATGAAGAAAACATATGAGCACTGAAGTAAAATAACGACACGACTCTGTGTCTGTTGGCATGACAATAAAACATATTGTCTCCTGCATGTGAACGTACAGTGGGCCTCTTGTACCTGTCACTTGGCTATACTAATTTTGGTACATTCCATACGCTAAATTGAAACCAATTCAAACGGAACTTGTTATTAAATTTTATAACATTATACACAACATTTCCTTTTGAACTGTTTCGGTGTAGTTTGTATGTTTAAAAGGTTCGAAGAAATTCTTATCGTTGTAAACAATAACAAATTTTTTGAACCTTTTTATTACTAATGTCTACCTGTGGTATGTCTCGGTGTAAATCGGATCCCTATCAATCCTGTTTGATGTTTTACTACCTTATGATAACTATCTTCCTGATGATCTTAAGCTAGTGACATAAATACCTGCATAGGTGGCTTTGAATATGAATATCTATCATTGATGGTTAAGACTCAATGTGACAACAACATGTTCTCAATTTCAATCCTATCTAATACAATGGAACAAAAGAACACAGGTAAAGAACACACAAATTTATTAATAGACACAGTAATACTACCTACTGAACACATTGACCTAGCAAATACACATTCTGGAGTCCTTCATGGGGAATACTGACCGCATTCTCATTGGAAAATGTTGGTATTTTTTTCCTAAAATCTTTCAAATTTTCAATCTCTGTTGGTGAAAAAAATATGTGTTAATGTTCAGATAACAAAATATCAACAAAACAAGGAGAATCTTTTATAAGTGAAGAGTTTTTTAATTGAGTAAAAAATAAATAAGTATGAGACTAGATACAATGTTCTTAAGTATGAGTGATAAACCTATGTTTCATGGTTGTTTTTTTACACCCGCAGACCCGATATTCCGGTGATTTTCACCGATTGACATCAGCAACGTTTCCCTCCAATTCATGCCCAGATGCATATTTATATACATGTATATTTAAATATGCTCTGCATTAACACTATATGGACACTACCAAAATAAATTCATTTCCTAAATACATAATTAAATAAATATATGAACATGTTTCTCTTTGCCGTTGTATATAGCCATCTAACACCAAGTCAGATGAAAATGCCAAACAAGAGGCCCATGGGCCTTAACGGTCATCTGACATCCGATTCAAATTAGGACTGTCATCCAGGGGCCAAGTCATACTTTTCCTCGGTCCGGGTGACCTTGCTGCATTGTCCATTATTTTTTCCTTGTGAACACAATAACTGCAGTTAATATGAACCGATTTTGATGAAACTTTGTATGCAGCTTTGTATCAATGAGATCTTGGATGAGTTTGAATACCGGACCAATTTGACCATAACTTACATAATTATTCCCCTTGGTTATTCTATTATTGTTGGACCCTGTGAACACGATAACTGAAATAAATGGGTGTGACTCCAATTTTGACCCAAGGAGTCTGTTTTGAACAAACTTGGTAACTGTATGTCTTCTGTTCTTGGTTAAAAGAAACAAGTAAAAACGTTAATCAATGATTTATTAAATAAGGCACAACATTTCAATAGCACCTTGTTAGTAGCAAAAATGCGTCATGAATGAAAAAAAGGTGTACCACATGAATTTACATCTATTCTTATGTAATGTCAATCAACATCACAGGGACAAATAATAATATAATGACAAAGGCCAATAACTCTGCAGATTTTCGTCAAATAATTACCGGACAAAGTTTCATTGAACTCCGTCAACATTTATTCAAGTTATCGTGTTTACAAGGTCCAATAATAATATTATTACTTAGGGCAATAACGCTGTAAGTTACTGTCAAATAATTTCCAGTTTCGAACTCATCCGAGGTCTTATTGATATAAGGCTACATACAGAGTTTCATCAAACTCGGTTGATATTTACTTAAGTTATCGTGAACACAAGGTCCAATACAAAATAATGTTATAATAGTATTACAAAGGACAATAACTCTGTAAGTTACTGTCGAATAATTCCCATTTTCAATTCACCCGAGATCTTATTGATATAAGGCTGCATACAAAGTTTCATCAAACTCGATTAACATTTTCTCAAGTTATCGTGTTCACAAGGTCCAATAATAATATTACAAAGGGCAATTACTCTGTAAATAGCAACATCCTAGGCCTCTTGGTTATTGAGAAGTTGTTTAAAGGTTTTAAACATATTTGACCCCTATGACCTTGAATATAGGTTAAGGTCATTCATTTTAACAAAACTTAGTAGCCCGTTATCCTACCATGTTACTGCCTAAATATCATTATCCTAGGCCTCTAAGTTATTTAGAAGAAGTTGTTTAAAGATTTTTTAAGACAATTGACCCCTGTGACCTTGAAAATGAGTGAAGGTCATTTATTTGAACAAACTTGGTAGCCCTCGTTTACAGCATGCTACTGGTCAAATAGCATCATCCTAGGCCTCTTGGTTATTGAGAAGTTGTTGGAAGGTTTTGAACATATTTGACCCCTGTGACCTTGAATATAGGTTAAGGTCATTCATTTTAACAAAACTTAGTAGCCCTTTATCCTAGCATGTTACTGCCTAAATATCATTATCCTAGGCCTCTAAGTTACTAAGAAGAAGTTGTTTAAAGATTTTTTAAGACAATTGACCCCTGTGACCTTGAAAATGAGTGAAGGTCATTTATTTGAACAAACTTGGTAGCCCTTTATCCCAGCATGTTACTGACAATATAATTATCCTAAGCTTCTTGGTTATTTAGAAGTCGTTTAAAGGTTTTTTAAGACAATTGACTCCGGTGACCTTGAAAATGGGTGAAGGTAATTTATTTGAACAAACTTGGTAGCCCTTCATCCCAGCATGCTACTGGCCAAATGTCATTATCCTAGGGTTCTTGGTTATTCAGAAGAAGGTGTTTAAAGGTTTTAAACATATTTGACCCGTGACCTTGAAAATAGATGAAGGTCATTTATTTAAACAAACTTGGTAGCCCTTCATCCCAGTTTGCTTCTGGCCAAATATCAACACCCTAGGCCTTTCGGTTATTAAGAAGAAGTCGTGCCAGGTGAGCTAAAAATGAACATTGATGAAGATGCTGTCCCAAGTCATTCAGCATATGATGCATGGTTTGAGGTGCACTACGTCCGAAACAACTCAGTCCCCGTTTATTTAGTCCAACACCAACTTTGTTAGATACAGCATGAAACACAGCTAAACGCAACACGAGTTCCATAGGGCTTGTAACGCTCACATTTGGTTACATGAAACTGACATATAGGTAACTTAAGACCAAATTTGGTAACTAAACTTCTTAAGATATTGTTTGAAATTTCGAATTTTGAGATTTAAACCTTTAAACCAATGTTGACATCAGACTTCGGCTAGCACTTAAAGTTTACATTTTACCTCATTACTGAAATAAAGAAAACGATTCACAGCTGGTCTACTTAACATACCCAAGTATCACGACTCTAGACCAAATGCTTCTTCGGATATCGTTTTTAGTCATCAACATATTTGACCCCTGTGACCTTGAAACTATGTCAAGGTAATGTTAACAAGGAAACTTTAAAGCACTTCTTCACTGGTACCTGCTTGTCAAATATCATGGCCCTGTGCCTTATGAAATTTGAGAAGATTGTTGAAGCTTTTAACCCTTGTTGTTGTTTGACCACCGACTAGCACTTAAAGTTGACCGTTGACCTCATTACTGTAATTAAGAAAAGGATTTGCAGTGCTGGTCTACATAACATACTCAAGTAACACGAACGACTCTAGTCCAAATAGCTGTTAGGATATCGTTGTCTGGAGATTTTAACATATTTAACATGCGACCTTTAAAGTAGGTCAAGGTCATAGCACTGTCACAGGCAAACCCCCTTGAACCAAGGATGATCCAGACCAAATTTAGTCAAAATCTACTAGGTTGTTCAGGACCGATGGATGTCGTGGTATGGCATAAGCTCACCTGGTTTTTGGTCCCTTGGTCATCATCAGAAAGATTATAAACATGAAGCAGATGCCATTCCATCTTTAAGCATCATGCCATCATGTTCCATCCTACAATAAATTGAAAACAAACCACATTTCCTTTTGTGATATAAATTTATTACAATGTTAAATGATAGACATGAAAATATTAAAACCAAGGGGGAAATGAACACATACATTTAAAACCAAATACACATGTAATCTAACACGATTCCAGTCTGGAAACCATCTACAAACCTACATGTATACAAGTCAAAGAGTCAAGACAGAAAAGACGGAAATATCTTGTTTTATCAGTATTTGTTCCCAATTGATCTGCTTCCATACGTTTTTTCTGTCATTTATAAATCCACTTGCACAGACAAGGATACATCACAACTGGTCAGTCAACAGCTGCCCAAGAAAAGTGCACATGTTCTTTTATTACATGAGAAATCAAAATGAAATTTTTCCAGACTGGCAATGCATGGGTTAAAATCCAATGGCTTGATGATGAAGTCAAATGAGAAATGAATTGATCTTCCATTCGTGAAGTTTGATGGTTCACACTTGACACGATGATCTAATACACTAGACGGCAAACATACAGCAAGTTCCAAACATTTTACGTAGGTTTCTGTGATCCCTTCTTTCCAATGAGAGATTTGTGGATGTGAGGAATGACACCTGAAAGTAAAGAAAATACAACAATGAAATTTTGCATTATTTACAACTTATGGAACTTGAGTGCAACTGTAGACCTTATTCATACCCCGACCCACATTCTTCCGACTACTTTTTGGTCACCAGACAAATCTTCGCCATACAGTAAATAAGCTATGTAATAATTTTGAAGTAGTCTGGACACCTTTTGTCTTAAAAATGGACATTTCTAACTCTGGTACCTTGCAAACAATTTAACAGGTTTTTAAATGCGGTTATGCAGTAAATTTAAGCTGCAGACAGCAATTTGTTAGTGCTGATCTTGGTCTGCAAGTCTTAAAATTGAATTCATAAACATCAGGCAATAGGTCAGATATCCTTGAAACTGTGCCTTCACAAATTTCAAACTTTTAACGTCTATTTTTGTTTACATACAGTTAAGAAAAGTGATATATGATATATGCCCACCTTCTAATAGGAATGGGGGGTACATGGATCCTCCCCCAGATTTTTTTTAAAATCTAGGTGCTCTCTGGGGCTATTATTTCATGATTACAGTTGCAAACCGAATAGAGGAGAAGGGAACCAGACTATCAGACTCATCGAAACTCTCTGTTTTCCTTTTACGTTGGTAAAAAGCCCCGAGAAGTTCCGGAATGCGACATTCTACCATTACAATGATGTCAACAACAACGAATTTACTGATTGATCAATACAAATTACTGCATTATTACGGGTAGTGAAACATTGTCTGGTCTATTTTATTTCTTTGTTCCCGCCCCCCAATTTGACAATGCGTACACAGGCGTATTTCTGCGGGATATTACCCGTACATGATTTCTATTTATGCGGGCATGTTTTCATATTTGCGTCATTGACGCAATGTCGCACCCTAGATGCAACCCTAGCAATGTATGTAAAATATTTTTCAACCATAATTATTTCTAATTTATGATGCGACATGCTCTTCACAAGAATGTGTTTCAGTAAAATAACCTTTGAAACGGTCTAGATATTCTTTAGTTTACATATTTTATCTCCAGTGTTTATTTAACCCTCAAGTTGATTTCATGGGAACATGACACAACCAGAGAGGAGTCATAAATTAGGACCAAAAGAAAATCCTTTTTCATTTAGGGGATAATCTCGACTTGCAGCAAGTTTTTGTGTGCATCTCTCTATTAGATAAATTGCTTATAGTGTTCTAGTTAGCTGTATTTATCCCTTTAGTAATTATGTTGTTGAAGTATAACTTAGACTTGTTCTTGGGCAATGCATCCTGTGCAAAAGCAATGAACTTGTTTTAAGTATAATGACACTTAAAAGAGTAACCTTCATAACATGAATTATATATCTATCTAACATCTGTGATTATTATGCTCCCTGCAATACAAAGCCTAGTGTTTCTGGACCTATTTTTTTTAACCTTTCCTTGGGCTAGCCTAAGTGTGAATAAAGACCTAAAGTATCCAATCGTAAAGGACCATTTACATACTTTTATGCACAACCATGTTCCCTATCCTGAAGGGCAATTATCATGATACTGATTGATCATACCAGCATGACAACACATTCTGCAAGTCCATAATCTTGAGCATTGGCTTTGTAGTTGTTCAAAAAATAGGCCAGTCTGTTGCACTCTTGCAAGTGCATCTTGATTTTTAATATAACCACACAGTTCATCAATCTTTGTAAGTGTTGTTTACCTTACAAACATCCTTGCTTCTAGTTACTAGTCCATTAGGACTCGCAACGTTCGCCACACAGGTTGAAACTTTAAATCTTGCAATAATTTTATTACATAACATCGGAGCTGTAAATTCTATAAGTTCATTTGTTTATGTTCAAAGGAACATTACGTTTTGATCAGGCAAAGGCAGTTAAGCTACATTACAAGGTTTAATTTGACATGAATGGCTTTCATGTACTATCCATTCATTAGCTGTTTATCCCAGTCAATTGAAATAATAAAATAATTACAAAGTTTGAATCTAGTATGTATCAATTAATGCCCAACCAAAGTTACTGGCAGGGCTTCTGTTTTATATTTTCAAAATATACTCCAAGGACTTTGAGTTTAAGTTCTTACCCGACCTATATTCATTATTGAAATTTCAAATATACTTAACAAAATCTAAGGGCCCCGAGTTTTGCTAGTGGAATCACATACAACAGAATAACATGAATAAATAAACTATCAATTTATACATACCACCACCAGCAATTGTAGCTTTGATAAGGGAATCCAACTCTTCATCTCCACGAATGGCCAATTGCAAGTGACGAGGTGTGATACGCTTTACTTTTAAATCTTTACTAGCATTTCCAGCCAATTCCAGTACCTGTAAAAACATGCCATTATTATAATATTCTCGAATTATTTTCCAGTTTGTTTTGTAAATTTCTTTCAGTAATTGTTTTATGCACATTACAATGTGAAAGTATGAAATGCCGGGGTCACAATATGTAACGAGTCCAACAGGAATAAGACATTCCAATTATTCATATATGCTTTAGATACCCTTCAAAAAAGTGATTTGGTATTCAATATCAGCGACCGAAGGGAGATAACATCAAATCGATCATGGCGGTTTGTCCGCCATTTTGACTGCCCGCGAAATTCCAATAATGTAAACAATAACATTGATTTCAATGCTTTTTGTAATGGATCACTCTAATTTCTATGAATAAGAAGCAATAAGAATATATTTCGGTGTACAAGTACCACAAAAACCTCTGAATTATGTAGATCAACAAGTTTGTTAAATGTAAACACTGAGAAATCTTCACTCATCGTCGATTAGGCCTACCTCGGTCCCACAACAAAACGAACGTTTGCATACATTGCTACCATTTTTGTTTTCATTACAATGAATTAAGTCGTGTCTTACTTCAGCGGTCAAGTATTCCAAAATTGCAGCACTGTACACGGCGGCTGTTGCACCAACGCGACCATGGCTTGTTGTTCTGTTTTTCAAATGTCTGTGGATACGACCAACGGGGAACTGTAATTGAACAAATGATGTATATTTCACGCTCTGTTGTAAATGGTAGGTTTTTATTGCAAAATGCAGACAAATGCAAAACATCAAAAGCTAAAAGGTGACGAAGAATAAATGTTCTATTTAAATGTTTACCTGGAGTCCAGCCCTTGCAGAACGGGACACTGCCTTTGCCTTCGCCTTTCCAGAGTCTTTTCCTGCTTTGCCTCCTGCCTAAAATTATAAAATAAAATTATTTCTCCGAATTTTTCATACAAAATAATAATGAAAATGTAATAAACAAACATAAAAGAATCAAACTGTCAATAATTCAAAATCCGATGACAAACGATGAATTCGATTTTTAACGGATACAAACCATCTTTCTTCAAATCCTTCACTCGTACTGTTGACCGACTGACGCTTAGTCTGTAATACCGCCAAATTACAGCGTATACACAGAAAGTCACGTGACGCTATCAGCCAATCGCAAATGAGCTCTCACGGACAAAGAATTATTGTAAATATTCGACACGCAAGTACTCCCTGGCTTTTTGAGCAATAGAAATTAAATTATAGATTAATGACAGATGAGAAATTAATTTGTGCTAATGACAGTTTATACATACCAGGACCACGTTATTAGATTATTAGATAAGTTATCTAAGTCCGTGCCAGGACGGGGGAAAATGAGAAATATTCTTCTAAGATAACGTTAATTATTAAGCATCTAACAGTTAGATATATATTTCAGAATAACATAAGTTCATTTTAACAAAAAAGGGGTCCCTTCTATATAATTTATCCACACACATGCATATTTACCCCATTCGATGACTAAGAAATCGGATTATGATACGCCTTGTTTAGAGTAAAGGTTTTGAGGTTCACGTTAGGAACTAGAAATTAAAAACAACTCTTACATGTTACTAATTAAGATGAATAATACAACGATGGAATGAGATTGCATAAGTCCTGGCTTCAACTACAGGAAACTGCTAGATAGTAATGTATACGTCGCTATATTACGTGAACATTAAAATAACTTAGTCTATTGAAATATATATAACATAAATATATGCAATACCAATTACAATATCAAAATACAGGTAAAGAAAACTTAAATAAATGCAATATCAACAGTAGTGTAAACTAAAATTAAATATTAGAATTTTTGTTATGATTTAGCAGAGACGTATATATTACGTCTCTGAATTTAGGGTTATATTTTAGCGTATAGATAAGAAGGAATCTTTTCTATAATGAATACTATTACTGTATAATTTAACAGATAAAGGTACATTATAGGTCCAAACAATTATTTGTCTTCTGTATGCCCCTAGTTATATAGGGTCTAGTAGGAAATTAAATCAATAACAGAGTTTAACATTTCTTCTCTGTAGATAGACGCGTATCTTAATTAGTGCCTGGAAAGATGTTTCGAGTGGTTTGAAGTAGATTGACTACAGTCTTTGTAAATTAACAAAAGAAGTTCTATACAGGCTCATAAGCATACCACACTATACAGGCTCATAAGCATACCACTATACAGGCTAATAAGCATACCACTACGAGTAAACTCTCTCTCCCTCTCTTTTAAAAAAATCCCCTTTTAAACCGGTAAAAAATATGAACGTTTTTTCATCACTTGTTTCTCACTTTTACCGTGGAATCTTACACTATTTGAAAGTTATCAAAATACGGGTTCACTATAAATAGTCAATGCCTATGATAGGTGAATCAATATTGAACTTAAATGCCCTGTTATACATATGGGTTAGGGAGTATTTAATTGCACAAATCGATCAAAGGTCACAAATTGTGCTATTTTAATCTCTGTATATCATCTGTTCGTAACAGAAATTCAAAACTTGTCTGTGTTATGTTGTTTATGTGGAGAGGAGGAGGAGATATGCCGGGGTAGATAGGTGTGACAAGCCTTTCAAAATACCAGAAATATCTGCTAATTGAGATAGTTGAAATCCCGCCCCCGGCACACGCTATGTAACATATTATAGAATTATAGAGGAAACAGCTTGACTTCCTGACCTCGTGCAATGGCGCCAAATTATACCAGCCAAGCTGTTCAGATCACCATACTTTCAAGTCAATTCATTTATTGACTTAAAGCTTTCAGCTCATCAGTTAACATATAACAGTACATAAATACAGTGGCAGACACTGTTATAATGGACATAATATAATTACTTAAAGTTTAACATTATATCATGGGTTTTCTTAATTGAGAAGCATAATATATCTATTTACTTAACATAGTTAATTCTTTTAAGTTAGTTGTACTTAATGGCTGGATCAACTTGAAAACAGACGGGTTTTCCAGTAATATCGACCTTAGAACTTGATAAACTGGAGTGTTATGTTGCAGTGTTAAACTAACAATTTAAACTTAAATGTCTATACAAATGACATGTCGAGGAGTTCTCTAATAAACAGTTATTTTATCATCGGTATAATATTACAGATATATACAAACATGATATACATATAGGATTCGAAAACAAGTACAAAGTACTTATGTTAATCCTTATGGTAATAATTCAAACATCTCTTGCCGTGCGTTATCAAAAAATCTCTGCTTAATATATTGTTTTGATTTCACCACATTTCACCACAACCGAGTGAAAAAGTTTATCTTTCACAAATGTTACCCAATTAAAAACACTATTCCGTTTCTTCATTTTCACGAGTTCTTCATAAGCAGTTTTTAGAACACAGTTCCTTGTATCTAATAGCATGAACCAGTACTTAATCAAATCAAAATGCTGGGTATGTACAATTGGCAATCTCCCCAAAATAGATCATAACAATACATGTGGATTTCTTGGCACATACAATCTTTTTACAAAACTCTAGGCGAACTTTCTCAATATCTTTACCTTTGCACGAGCCCCATACTTCAGATGCGTAACACAGAATACTGGTAACACATATGTGCCAAATAGTTTGACTAAAGTATGGCAGTTTAAATTCATAGTTTTACATTTTGTATATAATGCAAACACTTGCCCAGATAATTGCTTTTGTACAACATTGAATTTATTACTTGATTTAAGAACAATTCCAAGATATGTTAACTGTTCCACCACTTCTAATTCCATTCCATCAGAGAACAATACCTCGTCATTTTGTAACCGGCCTCCATTTCTAAAGACAACACTTTTAGTTTTATCAGTGTTTACCGACAGTTTCCACGAATTTGCATATTCAAACAAACTGTTCAACATATTCTGTCCCGGGCTGATTCAGCAAGTAGCACCAAATCATCGGCATACTTAAATAATGCGCTGTGTGATCATCCTTTTGGTATAATTTAGTTTTATAATATACTCATATTTGAACATTTAAATTGTGTAATCGTCATAATTCTTATGTGGTAAAACTCTTAAAATGTGTAGAATTTGACATTTTTCAAATACATGTAATATGCTTTTGTGACTTAGCTTACTATGTGTGCACCACACGGATTATCGATCGGGGTACCTGGTGTGTTACATAATTGTCAACAGTAGCCCGTTAGACTCCGGGCCGGTCTTTTTGTTTAGATTATTCTATTTTTATCCATGTATATGGCTCTTGTAGTCAAGGCGGTGTGTGGTGGGTGTGGCCGCGTGGTGTCCTTTGGTGTCGGACTGCCTGTAGACATGTAATTAATGCACAATGGAGGTTAACCTCCCGGGAACTTCACGTCAAAAGTCGTGTCAACCTATAAATCAAAAGTGATGTTAACTGGAGTTAAATCTTAGGTATTTGATTTCTATTGCTTGATTTTAGCATATTTTTATAACAAAACATGAAACAGATATATAAGGTTATATTTATCAATAAAGTCAAAGATTTTTTAATTAAATAGAATGAAGCCGTTTATATATAATATTGAGGAGTTTGTTATGATTCCCCGTTGAATACCGCCATTTTCATAAGTATGACAGAATACCATTGTTTTTCAGGTGAGAGAGCGAATCTGAATGAAAACAAATCTGTGATTTCTGTCATGAAAGTGAAAAATGAATTCTATATATATCATATGGTTTTCACGAGGGTAGCACCTTGTATGGTCTACTTCCGGTATTATTCATTAATTGCGACATAACCAACATAGCATAAAGTTGTGTCCATGACATGAACCATGTTACAATGTCTGTCTCTATACCGAGTAAAACATAACGTACATGTATACATAGGTTCTATATACTGAGTCATGCTGTGTATACATCAGTTCTATATACTGAGTCATGCTGTGTATACATCAGTTCTATATACTGAGTCATGATGTGTATACATCAGTTCTATATACTGAGTCATGCTGTGTATACATCAGTTCTATATACTGAGTCATGATGTGTATACATCAGTTCTATATACTGAGTCATGCTGTGTATACATCAGTTCTATATACTGAGTCATGATGTGTATACATCAGTTCTATATACTGAGTCATGCTGTGTATACATCAGTTCTATATACTGAGTCATGATGTGTATACATCAGTTCTATATACTGAGTCATGCTGTGTATACATCAGTTCTATATACTGAGTCATGATGTGTATACATCAGTTCTATATACTGAGTCATGCTGTGTATACATCAGTTCTATATACTGAGTCATGATGTGTATACATCAGTTCTATATACTGAGTCATGATGTGTATACATCAGTTCTATATACTGAGTCATGCTGTGTATACATCAGTTCTATATACTGAGTCATGATGTGTATACATCAGTTCTATATACTGAGTCATGATGTGTATACATCAGTTCTATATACTGAGTCATGCTGTGTATACATCAGTTCTATATACTGAGTCATGATGTGTATACATCAGTTCTATATACTGAGTCATGCTGTGTATACATCAGTTCTATATACTGAGTCATGATGTGTATACATCAGTTCTATATACTGAGTCATGCTGTGTATACATCAGTTCTATATACTGAGTCATGATGTGTATACATCAGTTCTATATACTGAGTCATGCTGTGTATACATCAGTTCTATATACTGAGTCATGATGTGTATACATCAGTTCTATATACTGAGTCATGCTGTGTATACATCAGTTCTATATACTGAGTCATGATGTGTATACATCAGTTCTATATACTGAGTCATGCTGTGTATACATCAGTTCTATATACTGAGTCATGATGTGTATACATCAGTTCTATATACTGAGTCATGCTGTGTATACATCAGTTCTATATACTGAGTCATGATGTGTATACATCAGTTCTATATACTGAGTCATGCTGTGTATACATCAGTTCTATATACTGAGTCATGATGTGTATACATCAGTTCTATATACTGAGTCATGCTGTGTATACATCAGTTCTATATACTGAGTCATGATGTGTATACATCAGTTCTATATACTGAGTCATGCTGTGTATACATCAGTTCTATATACTGAGTCATGATGTGTATACATCAGTTCTATATACTGAGTCATGCTGTGTAT